TAATTGCACAGTATTATTCCTATATGTTTTGTAAGTAGTTCGTTTTTCATTGTCGTTCGTATTATGGGCTTTTAAATTTCTTCTTTTTCTAAGTTTTTTCCTAATATATCTTATTGTCTTCATAGACAATGTTTATCCAAGAATGAAAGTTTGTTATAGCTTGTCTCGATATTTCTCAGTTTCAGTATAAAAATATAAACTTCTATTTGAATATTTCAATTTTTTCAAACGTCTAGAGAAACAATAAGCTTTGGCGGTGACATGTACATTACCATCATTGCATTTGTCAAGTTTTTGTTAATGTGTCAGGGTGTCTTTGTTAAAACAGCGAAGTATATAACAAATCTAATATTCCTCAACATGATAATTTCTGCAATGATGTTACGGTGTGTTCCCAATCATTGTCATTGTTATTTTGAATAAAATTCTTTCGCATATGAAACATGCGGTTACACAAGATAAATATTCAAATTGAGAGAACTATTAAAACAACGAAAAATACAACTGTAGATATGTGTCCAAGTTTTTAACGTTGAGGTTAGTCACCCATGGGCAAAGGTTAGCAGTAATTGCAAAAGTTGCAGTGCCTGATACAATAAAGGTTTGACTGTGTATCAAAAAAATTAAACAAATTGAACTTTCTATTACAAGATTTGATACGAAAGTCCCTCCTTAGACACACACACATTATACGCTATCATTATTTGCTGTGTATATATTGTAATTTTAGATTGTACCAAATGTTTGAAAAGTATAAATTTGAAGTCTCTAATTCAAAGTTTATTATTTATACATCATGTTCAAAATTCTTGGTCAATTTTACTGCTACCTTTTTTTTCCGGAAAAACGTGTAAAAATTTCAAGGTAATAACATAGTTGAATCATTTTTCTTGAAATACAAGCTTTTGATTGTGGTTTCACATCTTAATGACTTGCAGCAAGTTAAAAATATATAAATCTACCAGCTAATTGTTTTGTTTTGTATGTTTTCTGGTATCGTTTATCACAAAAATTAGCTATGCACTAAAGAACAGCATGATACAATGATGAGTTGAAGGAATGTATTCATTTAAGTAAGTTAAAAAAATTAATTTGACTTTATATTTTTATCTAAATAGATATTTTTAATAGGTTATACTTTGTATAGGATTTATGCTCACAAGATACATAAAACGGACAATACAGTTTTTCCAAAAACATAATAATTTTTTCTCTCATAAAATTAGGGAAACACAATCTGGATATAATATAGAAAAGAAAAATTATAAAAACAAATCATAAAGTTAAAATATTATATTGTTGAAATAAACTACAACTAAACAACGAAAATATATATTCCACTATTCTAACCACTATTTCATTGTAATATAATAATCTATTTATAAATGTACAAATTGTATCACAGTATCATATTACTGTTATATATATATTCATCACATACATAATATTCCTTACGATACTGAATATGGCATCATGAGATGTTGAAACATGTTTATTTTAAAAAAACTTGTCGTTTGTATTAAATGTGAAAATATCTAATTGTAACACGCTTAACCAGATAAGTATAACGATTAAAAAAAAGTTGACAAACTATAGCATTGAGCCAAATGCAATATTTAAGTCTTTCAGCAGCTCTTAAACACCTTTACTAACAAAAGCAAAGTTTGCACCTAATCACAAAGCACAACATTGACTGGGACTCGGGAAAATGCATTACTTACAGTACTGACTATGGACAACATTAGAAAGTTAGTATACCAACTTGGAACAAACCCCCCTGAACAGATCACAGCAATTACCGGCACCTTACAAACGACTTATTCACATTACAAATAAACGATCAAGTAAAAACATTACACTTCACACTAATTAACAAAGACAATACACAATTGACACCCACACATTACAACTAAAAACATCACACCTAAATCACACATCACAACTAAAAAC